ACCAGAAGCGAACGGGCCACCTTATCGTGAGTGACAAGAATACACAGTTTGTTAAGAGTTAATGTGCACAATTTAACTACTTGCCAACCGCAGATAGCTGAATGACGGCTACACTGCGACCGGCCAGTTCTGGGAGGGCGTCATATGACGTCCTCCCAGAACGTGCTCTCCTGCGCGCCCCCGGGGGCACACACCCGGCGATCTGCATGATCGCTGTGTCCTACAGACACAGCTGATCACGTGATGTGGTAAAAGGCCAATCACAGCCTTTTACCACGTGATCAGCCTTGTCCAATGACACGTTGATCACCGGGAAATGCAATTGCCGATTCTCGGCTGCACTTTCCTCACGCTGTCAGAGCGCAAGGAAAGTACTACCGAGAAACGGCAGTTGTTAGAGAAGGGATCGGCACCGATCATGAGGGCACTGATGATCAGTGCCCTCATGATCGGTGCCCAGCAGTGCCACCCACCAGTTCCACCCACCTGTGCCCAGCAGTGCCACCCACCTGTGCCCAGCAGTGCCACCCAGAAGTGCCACCTACCTGTGCCCAGAAGTGCCACCTACCTGTGCCCAGCAGTGCCACCCACCTGTGCCCACCCACCTGTGCCCACCAGTACCACACACCTGTGCCCACCAGTGCCACCCACCAGTGCCCATCAATGCAATGCTGCCAGTCAGTGCCCAGCGGTTGTGCCAGTCACTGCCCAGCAGTTGCGCCTGTCAATGTCCACCAGTGATGCCAGTCAGTGCCACCTATCTGTGCTGTCTATCAGTACTCATCATCAGTGCCGCCTATCAGTGCCACCTATCAGTGCCGCCTATCCGTGACACCTCATTAGTGCTGCCTATCAGAGCCGCCTATCCATGCCACCTCATTAGTGCTGCCTATCAGTGCCCTTCAGTGCTGCCTATCAGTGCCCATCAATGCTGCCTATCAGTGCACATCAGTGCCGCCTATCAGTGCCCATCAGTGCTGCCTCATCAACACACATCAGTGAAGGAGAAAAATTACCTGTTTGAAAAATTTTATAATAGAAACAAAGAAATTTTTTTTTTCAAATGTTTTGCAATTTACAGTATTTTTTATAGCGCAAAAAGTAAAGCACCAAGTGGTGATTAAATATCACCAAAAGAAAGCTCTATTTGTGAGAAAAAAAGTATAAAAATTTCATATGGGTACAATCTTGCATGACTGCGCAATTGTCAAAGAGCGACAGCGCTGAGAACTGAAAACCGGCCTGGTAAAGAAGGGGGTATAAGTGCCCGGTAGGCAAGTGGTTAATGTGAGTTATATTTTAATCATTTTAATAAAATATTAGTGGGAAATAGAAAGCACTTTGATGGTTTATCTTTTCAGAGCTTCACAGTAAAAACAATTGTAAAGGGAACAAGAATGGATGGGAGTTCTTTTGGAAATGCTTAATGGGAGACTAGTTGTGGCTATACCAACCCTGGTGGTTAGGGCCCTTTCACATGGGCAGAACGAGTGGGTCCACCTGTCCATTTTTCAGGTAGACCCGAGTGGACTACCCATGTCCATTTACACATGCCTGCATCTGATCTGATCCACTAAAATTAGATGGATAGGGATCTGTTCCCCATCTGTCTAGTGAATCGGATCAGATGACAGTTGGAATAAAAACGGACAGGCGGTCCATTTTAATCCGACTGCCCCATAGAGAACAGTAGGCTGTGTCCGTGTCTCCTCTGTACAAGTGGAGTGGACTGGACACAGACCTGACACCCGACTGCTCAGCAGGTATCAGCAGACAGATCCCCTAGCAGGTGAATCCACTTGGCGGAGTCTGCCCATGAGGTGAGAGCATCTGTATGTTGGGGACAGGGATTGCACAGTGTATGGTCTTATAAGAACATTACACTCGTATTTTGACAACAGCTTGCTAAGAGAGACTAAAGATAGAGCATCACTGAGAGTACCTGACATTGAGGTCTGACAGACACTGGGCACCTGATAATTGTGTGTGAAGATTCCACAGCAATTTATTAATTGACTGTTGGAAAGCAAGTGAAAATAAGGACAGGGACATGGATATTTGTGCACTGTTCACATTTATTGAGAACTCATGTAACTTATTTTGTTGTTTGAAAAATATTTTTTTTTGTTTCAATTTATTTTTTGTCTTCTTTTTGCACATAGTATGAGCATATAAAAGTGTAAATACAGTGCAACACTGGTATAATATTGCAATCTGAACACCACATGACAAGAAAATATTCTAATGGACTAATTCAAGTTCTAGTACATTTTTTTAGCAAATAGATCTCTTTACAGATGTGATGTCTCTTTGGGGGAAAGGGGGTGTGCAGAGTTGGGTGGCATCCAGGAACACATTACCAAGCAGATTTATGGACTAATTTATTACACTCGTATTTTGACAACAGCTTGCTAAGAGAGACTAAAGATAGAACATCACTGAGAGTACCTGACATTGAGGTCTGACAGACACTGTCTGGACACCCGATAATTGATGTTTGCTACAGAATGTGACCTTTTCCCTGTGGATTTTAAAACTGGAAATATGAGTTTGTGAAATTCTCTTGTCAGCTCCTTAAAGTAGAGGTCCCGCCTAAACCTAACTAGGCTTTGAAATGTCCACTCCCCCAGCCCCAATACTTGCCTATTTTCAGCCCTCTCTGGTCCGGTCACATGATCCCTTGTGTTAGTGAACGGCAGCTGCAGGGGAGAAGAGAGAATGTTCAACAATGGATGAGAATTCTGGGAGCGATGACATCACCCATTAGCTCCCATGTCCCAGTTGTTGTCGGCACTCCCTCCACTTCACTGCAGCCAGCGTTCACTGACACAGGGGAGCTAATCACGTGTCCAGACTGGGCTAAAACTAGATAAGTATATATGTCTTTTTTACACAGGTTAGTCAACAGAGATGTTAGGAGGGGGAAAAGGAAAATTTTTCAGACTAGTCAGGTTTAGGCTGGATTGGAATTGTACTTTCATTCTTCATTTTGATTATACTTAAATTCACACTTTTCTACGAAGTTTGATTTCTTCTGCATCCTATTACAACTCCACAAAAATATAAATATCATGCATTATACAATATCAGGAATTTCAGATCTCCAGAGAAGTGTGGAGTAAATGAGAATCAAGATTGTGCTAAATTATGCTTTTGGGAACTCCGACTTTAAATGAACTAGTCATTTAAAACTGTTGCTCTAGTGTTCACTTTTGTAACTCTTTCAGGAGGCTAAACAAAAGTAAATAATGGGAACTAAATAAAAAGAGTTTATTTTTTATCTATTATGTCATATAGTCAAAAATAATTTTGTGCTGAACTCTGGGAATAGTCATGTTAAAACTGCTTGTTTATGTCTAGGCTCCTCTGTGATGCTAGACCAGTCCCTGAAGCCTCTTCTTCCCCACTCTGGCATCTGATGTCATCGAGATCATTGTATGGTCCATAGCCCTGAGTTGTGAGGACACAGAGGGACAATCCACTGCCAGAGCTTAGGGGAACAGAAGATGAAGTAAGTAAAAAGTGCCTTTACCATTCCCTCGGTTAAAAGAGCATTTAACCCTTGAAGTGTGGGTGAAGGCTCACTGCAAAAGAGGACTTTTACTTTTTCTGGGAATGGGCTTTAAAGTGTATGTATAGCCAAAACCTTTTCTTTTTTTAGTTTAGGATAGAGTAGGAAAGGATTATAACCCCTGTCATGTTTTATTGCTCCATGTTCCCCCTTTAGGTTGATTTATTCTTTCTAGATGTCCTAGTGATTATTATCACCCAGACAGAAAGCAATAGGAAATCCAAATTTTGCCATTTTCACCAGAACAGGAGGCCAGGGGAAGTCTTTCAATAGGCCTGATCTGGTAACCACTGTCTAAGAGGGGAATTCCCTTATTTTGTTAGAGATTTCCTCTCATTTCATGTATAGTCCATGGTCCAACAGTATGGGCAGCAGATGAGAGTCATAAGTTATCACTGAGTTTTACAGGATGCATTAGTGTAAGAAAATGGAGAGGGGGAAACACTAGATAAAAGAAGAAAAACAAAGAGGGAAAAAGGAAAGAGGTATTGGAGGGGGCAAGAGTCTGTTCGGGGGATCCCAAGGTCCATGTGCCTGAGAGTTTGGGGCGCAATCCATCACAGCACCAAGAAACAGCAGTCAAAATCTTGTGGAAGAGATCCAAGGATAACAACGGAATTTAGGAATGTTGCACTGGAGCCAAGCTGTCAGTTTTTCACTAAGCATGGTCCAGTGGACGATTTCACCTCATATATAGGGATAATTTCGCTAGGATATGTTTGTAGCCAAGCCTTTGCTATAACTTCTTTTGCAGCCGTGAGGACGTGGGTCATGAGGGTGAATTGAGATTGAAGACCTCCTTGGACTTTCGGTTGAGGAGGGCTATGCACGGATTTAATGGGGGTGCTAGGCAAAAAAGGGCAGCACAATATGATACACTTGCTACCAAAAATGTTGGACAACTGGACAGGTCCCCAATGTTTTCAAATTTTTTTACTGTGGTTTGAAAAAAATAGAATTTGTCCCCACTAACAATTTGAAAATTAAACAAACATTCTTAAAATGAGAAACATTAAATAAAATTCTACTTATGCATGGCCAGTTATATCCTTTAGAGTGGGGGTCAGCAAGCCGTTGAGATTGCGGTCAACCGTGGGGAGCTGACAGGTCGATTGTGAACACAGCTCAGCCTCCCCCCAGTCTCAGCCGTTCTACCTGCAGCGGAGAGCAGGAGGCAGCATAATGCAGGATGGAGGGCAAGAGTGCTCAGTGGTTGGTTGCTAGGTGCTCCTAGCAACCAATCATCAGCCTAGTATTATGAACTCCGACAGCTTCTGCTCCCGCCTTCTCTCAAGCACTGTGCTGTCTTCTGATCTCTGCTCTGATCTACACACACTGGCAGGTAGGAAGTGCTACCTTTATGTATGTATGTGTTGTGAAGGGGACAGAGAAGAAACTGTAGGATGGGGGGCAAAGGAGACACTGTGAGAGGGGGGACACAGAAGACACTCTGGGGCCCCCGGGCAATAGGGGATCATGGGGCCCCTGTGTCCTTCCCAAACTCAAAAAAGCCTATGAAAAAGGTACCAGGGGCATCTCATGGGGCCCTTACTGACACCGGGCCCTCAGGCAGTGCCCGAGTTTCCAAATGGTCAGTCCGCCCCTGGGCAGAGGACACTGATTTGGGGGTACAGGACACTACTGGGGGGAAGAGGACAGAGGATATGACAGTGTGGGGGGGTGTTAGGGATCCGGGCATGACCAGAAATGTGTGGGAACACAGGCATAGTCAGGGCTGGAGAGGTGGAATGGTCAGGCAGGCCGTTTGGTACTGTTAAGCACCGCCTGGCGGTGTCTCTAGCAGCCAACAGCAAGGGGTTCCTTAGGGCGGGGGTCTAAGTCCCAGTCTGCTTATTCACCAGGGCCCTGATGGGGGGGTGATGGTGGGGATGGACTTGGAACAGACTGAGACCAGGTCGCGACCCCTGAGTACGTCCGGGAATGGTAGAGACCGTCGTCAGAGGTGTGCAGGGAAAGGAGCCTGACGTGAAGAGGCTGGCATACCTGGTAACAGGGACAGATTCATGCGGAATAGATCATCTGGGTAATATAAGGCGTAGTCAGGCAGGCCAGGTCAGCAACGTGCGGGCAGCGAGGTACTGGAGAAGCAGGCAGAGAATGGTCAGGGTCCCAAGCCGGGTTCAGTAACTCACGGGCAGCTCGGTACAGAGGATCAGGCAGAAGGATGGTCAGGCAAGCCAGGGGTTAAATAGGAGACGGTCAGCAACAATGCAGAGGTCGGCAACAGAAGATTCACAGGATACCAGGTACAGGGGCTCATGGGGAACTATACACCAAGGCACTGACTGCAGGCCTGGCCATTCCTTAAATACACCTCCTGCAATCAGCCTCAGGTGATGGCTTGATTGCAGGAGTGGGGCTTCTGGCTGCTGAGAGTACCCGCTGGCCAGCCCTGGTACTGCAGCCCACATGGCAGGTGAGTCCCACCACCAGTGGTGAATCAATTCCTGACAGGGGGTGTGGTGTGAAGGGGGCCAAAGGACTGCTTTGGGGGGTACAGGACACTATTGGGGGGGCAGGGGATACTACAGTGGAGGGGGGGTGATGTGGAGGGGGCAGAGGCCACAATATTAGGGGTACAGAACAACAGAACACTACTGTGTGGGGAGGGGCCAGAGATCACTACAGTTGGGGGGGTGTAAAGGGGGCAAAGGACAGTGCCCTGTGGGCACAGGACACTACAGCTGGGAATGATGTAAAGGGGGGCAGAGGACATTACCATGGGGGGTAATTTTGTTTTTTTCTTAAGGGAACAGCATTGAAACACCTGCCCACCCCCCCCCCCCCCCCCCCCTGGGAATCTTTGCTTTACTCCATATTGTCCAGGTAGATCTCAACCTCTGAAAGGTTGCCTACCCCTGCTTAAGCTAAGCTCTAGTATGCCACTAAGACATACTGCAGAGAAGGAGATCAAAGACGATTCCCCGTAAAGCAGCTGTTTGTGTTGTGGATGACACTTTGTAGAAGGGAATGCCCTAACTGAATGCTAGCAGGGTGCAGTGATTTACAGATGACACTAGGACAATGTAACTGTTGTGACGGTGGTATACAACTAATCAACCTTTGGAAATCTCTGAGAGAAAGAAACATTTCTCTCAATTCAACACATTCTTGATGTAACCAGAAAGTATTAAAACATATAGTCCATTACCTGGCTGTTCATGTATATTTTAGTGATCCTTTGCTGCCAGAAACCTATAGAACAAGTTGCTACTCAGTCAGGCTTATGTAGTGACATATATAAACTGATAAATAAAATTAAAATATATAAAAAAATTAACAGGTTAGATGGCCTTTCACCAGCCAGAAGAAGGAATAAAGACAAAGCTGTGAATGAAATTTAGTTCAGCGGTCTATACTGATTCCTGTGACCATTCAAATATGACAGTGAAACCTCCAGGACATTCTAACAGCTGTTTGAATGTCTCACTGTAGCTAAGGAAGCAGAAGATGGAACAAGACCGTATGCTGATACATTAGGAAATTGCCAGTCTAAAGTTCACTTTCTTTGTGTGTAGTCTATCAGCAGTTTAAATGTGAGGTACAACCGCTTTTATTCCAGTTTTGCTTCAAAGGTTAATTGCAGTCTTTTGACATTAGTTTATATGCCATTTCTATGAATCAGACTGGGATTAATTTTAAATCAACAATAGGCTGTGTTTCAATCTCCAGAAATGATTAACCCAGATCTTATAAAGTTTATAGTCAGCTTAAGAGTTTCTTGAGATACATGTCCTGCAGCCATTAATTCCAGAACAGCGTTAGACCTAGATCAATCTATGGGAACATTCCACTCCAGCAATTCTTGGGACATGGTGTTCTGAGGGGCCCAGACTCAGGTAATGTTTGCCTGTTTATCTTTATTGCTAGAAGAATACAAAGCATATGACCATGACCCAGTATGAAAAGCATTATTACAAATCACATTTCATATCATTTTATCCTCAATGACATTACCTGACTTTAGTAATGTATTACTCAGACATAATTTAGACTCTGATCTCTACTGATAGAAAATACTTTTCAGCGACTTCTGATCATAATTATTTCCTTGTCATTTTCAAGGGCATGCAAACTCTGGGAGCTGAAACATAAACATAAAAGGAATTACTTGTTGTAATTATAAATCATCATTTTTCAATACTTTTTAAATTGCGGCACCTTTAAAGTATGCAAGATCTCAAGGCATCCTATTTTAAAATGTAAAAAACATAAATGCTACTTATCAATGGGAACCCTGAGCCTGGGATGATAAACACATGCATCTTAACCACTTGCCTACTGGGCACCAGTGGCGTCCCGAGGCCGGTGCGGGGGGTGCAGTCCGCACCGCATAACACCGACCGCACGAGGTGACACCAGACCCACTGCACAAAAAGGTAAGTTGTAAAGCAAGCCGCTGATTCCCACAGGAGGGATCTGATCCGTCCTGTGGGGATCGTCGGCTTTCTTTACAACTTACCTTTTCTTGGAGCGGGTCCGGTGTCACCCCGTATAGGTTGCATGCCAACGATCCTCATCGGCATGCAACCTATATGGGGTGACACCGGACCCGCTCCAAAAAAAGGTAAGTTGTAAAGAAAGCCGACGATCGTCACAGGATGCATCGGATCTGTTGATTTATCATAATGGATTGGAGTCCGATCCATTATGCTCAATCCACAGATCCGATCCATTCTGCGGGGATCGTCGGAGGGGGTGTCACCAAGTGTTACCGCACCGGGTGACACCTACCCTAGGGATGCCTCTGCTGGGCACTTATACCCCCTTCCTGCCCAGGCCAATTTTCAGCTTTCAGTGCTGTCACATTTTGAATGCCTATTGCGCGGTCATGCAACACTGTACCCATATGAAATTTTTATCATTTTTTTGAGACAGATTAAGCTTTTTTTTGGTGGTATTTAATCACCTCTGGGTTTTTTATTTTTTGCTAAACAAACCAAAAACAAGTGAAAACTTTGAAAAAAAAAGTTTTTTCTTAGTTTCTGTTCTAAAATTTTGTAAATAAGTGATTTTCACTGATGTGTGCAAATGAGGCTGCAGTGATGGGCACTTATAGGATGCACTGATGGGTACTGATGAGGAGGCACTGATGGGCATTGACAGGCATCACTGATGGGCAGTGAAAGGCAGCACTCATATATGGCAGTGATAGGCAGCACTGACTGGCACTGTTAAGCAGTACTGACGGGCACTAATAGGTGGCACTGATTGGCAGCACTGATAGGCAGCTCAGATGGGCACTGATATGTGGCATTGATGTGCACTGGTATGCACTGATATGTGGCATTGATGTGGCACTGACAGGTGGCACTGATGGGGCTACACTGATCATCAGTGCCCTAATGATCAGTGTGCATGTCCCCTCTGAGTAATGCAGATTACTGGCTCTCCTCATGAGCTGTCAGCGTGACAGCTCGTGAGGAGATGAATGCCGATAACCGGCATTTCCTTATTTACATGCAATCAGCTGTGATTGGATACAGCTGATCACATGACAGAGCCGACGTCTTCGGCTCTTTCCGTTGATCGGTGATCCGCTGTATCCCAGGGACACAGCGCACCACCGATCGCCGCACTGCGTGCCCCCGGGGGTGTGCACACGCGGTTAGAGTGGGAGGACGTCATATGACATCCTCCCAGAACTAGGGAGCCGCCTTGCGCCCGTCATTACCTTATATGGCGGGCGGGACGTGGTTAAAGTGGTTGTGAACCTCAGACAAATATGAACAAAACATATCCTTCTATACTATGTTTTTGCTTCTATCCAAAGCACACTCACCTCATTCTTCTGTTATCAGAATTAGTCAATTCTGACTGGTTTTCCCAACACCAAGAGATAAAATGGTGATGCTGAGCTTGTGACTGATATACATAGCTCTGCATGTTCTCTGTGTACTGTGTGAAGGGGGTATGTCTCTTCCCTCCAGTCGGGGTTCAAAGCAGTCCACAACTGAGATCTGCAGTGTGAGATTTCAAATCCCTACCCCCTGATTTTCAGAGCTGAGAGATCCTGTATAAATTCTTGATTTGAATGGCTGTGTAGAGGACAGATGGCTGCACATAAACAGGTAAAACTTATGTAGGAGGATTTGTTTAATCTCTGTGTATCACCTAATGCTATGTGGGGGCTGCCAACCACTTTAGTTAAATTAACTTCACATCAAATGTCCCCCTTCTTATCAGAAGATCTCATCAGACCTCCCCTCATGCATCAGAACCCCCTCATTACATCAGCGTTACCTCTATACATCAAAAGCCCCCTGTACATGAGTCTCCCCATCCTAAACCCCCCGCAAAACAAAGCCTGCTATTCACACAGTCTCCCCATCACAGAGTCCTCCAATCAGACACTGGGCACAATTCACTAAAGCTTATCACTTGAGTTAGGTCAGTCACATGACCACATATCGCATGCGATACTGAAAATGTCAATTCACTGTTGCTAGTATGCTGTATTTACCAAAAATAGCAAAAACACTCCATAAATACA